ACAGCGGCCTTGGATGGGCGACTAACGTTCATCACAGGTGCTATAGGCAGTCGCAGTGCAGCTACGTGGTGGGCAGTGTAGCCGACTCCGGACTGTTTCTAAGCTCCCCGCCTTCACCAAGCCTGCTCTGACCAACGTGGTGAAGTATGGTCAAACCCCCCCCCCCCCCACAACCTACACGGCGAAGGGAGGCCATCATCCAGCAGTGGATTTGACATAAAGGCTGCTTGCACACAAATACGCACGTCGATACATGACTTCTGTTCGCCCCAGTGAATGTAGCGAGCGTATAGAACGAGTGAGCATGGTGCAGTACACATCAAGTCGAGTCGATGGGTAACTGGGTGAGAACTCGAGAGAACATGGGGTAGAAGAAGACTCATTGGCAAGAGTGAGTGGGCGAGTGAGTGGATGGGTGAGTGAGTGAGTGAATTAACGAGTGGGTGGGTGAGTGAGTGGGTGGGTGACTGTGTGGGTGAGTGATTGAATTAACGAGTGGGTGGGTGAGTGGGTGGGTGAGTGATTGAATTAACGAGTGGTGGGTGAGTGAATTAACGGGTGGGTGAGTGATTGAATTAACGAGTGGGTGGGTGAAGATATGCGTGAGTTTGTGGGTGAGTGAGTGAATTAACGAGTGGGTGGGTGAAGAAATGCGTGAGTTTGTGGGTGAGTGATTGAATTAACGAGTGGGTGGGTGAATAAATGCGTGAGTTTGTGGGTGAGTGATTGAATTAACGAGTGGGTGGGTGAATAAATGCGTGAGTTTGTGGGTGAGTGAGTGAATTAACGAGTGGGTGGGTGAAGAAATGCGCGAGTTTGTGGGTGAGTGAGTGAATTAACGATTGGGTGGGTGAGTGAATTCACGAGTGTGTGGGTGAATAAATGCGTGAGTTTGTGGGTGAGTGAATTAACGAGTGGGTGGGTGAGTGAGTGTGTGGGTGGGTGAGTGAATTCACGAGTGGGTGGATGAGTGAGTGTGTGGGTGAGTGAATTAACGAGTGGGTTGATGAATAAATGCGCGAGTTTGTGAGTGAGTGAATTAGCCAGTAGGTGGGTGAGTGAGTGTGTGGGTGGGTGAGTGAATGAATGCGTGGGTGCGTGGGTGAGTGAGTGAATGCGTGGGTGAGTGAGTGACTGCGTGAGTGAGATGGTGAATGATGAGTCATTTCTCTGGTGTGTGTGTGTCTACACGAGGAGGATCGAAGTCACATTTCCAGGGGTGAGTGACCTGGGGCCACCAAAATAAAAACAAAGTCGGAGCAGAAATCGGAGCACGAGCATCAATTATCGTTCAAGAATACATTCCCCTTAACATGTGCGTGCGTGTGTACACGTGTGTGTATGTGTGTGTACACGTGTGTGTGTGTACACACACGTGTTCACACACACACACACGTGTACACGCACGTGTTCACACACACACGTGTTCACACACACACGTGTACACACACACGTGTACACGCGCACACGTGTACACGCACACACGTGCACACGTGTACACGGCACACGTGTACACGCACACGTGTTCACACACACGTGTACGCGCGCACACGTGTACACACGCACACACGTGTACACACACGTGTACACACGCACACACGTGTACACACACACACGTGTACACACACGTGTACACGCGCACACGTGTTCACACACACACGTGTACACACACGTGTACACACACATGTACACACACACGTGTACACACACATACGTGTACACACGCACACGTGTACACACACGTATACACACACGTGCACACACACACGTGTACACACGTGCGCGTGGACTCGAACCCCTGACGTGGGATGGTGGGGGGTGGACGCTGTGGGGGGGGGGTCAGGTGGGGGTTGGAGAGGGGGCACCCCAATAGGATCCATTCCCAGTGAGATGACAGAAGAGAGAGAGATGGAGCGAGATGGGAGATGGAAGGGGTGGTGCAGATGAGATGGGAGATGCAGCGAGGTGAGAAATAGAAGGGGGGGGGGGTGCAGATGAGACAGAGATGTAGACATGACACGTGTACGTAGCAATGAGACGCATTCATTGGCTGTACATGTTAATGATCTCTTAATGAGGATCTGAATTGGACCTGATCTTCAATTCAACCCCTGTGTTGTTTCACAAAGACAAAGAGATCCCCTGTGTGAAGGCCGGTACGGCACACGAGGGGGTGGGTGGCCAACACCACGCCCGACCGCCTTTGTCTCCCCAGTGCAGATGTTTACTACACACCGCACCAGGTACTCGTTTGAGGTTTCCCACGCGCACACAACTGCGCTCCTTGGGGGGCCACCACGCTGTTGCTGAATGATCTTACCCAGAGAGACCCCTACTGGGGGTAAGGGATGCAGGGGGGTAGAATGGGGGGTTACGTCGAGGGGTTCGGGGTGTGAGGGGGTGTTTTGTAATCTGGGTCAGGATTTAATAACAGCAGCAGCAGCAGCAATAGCAGCAGTAGCAACATCAGTAGCATTCTCTTAGGTTTTTTTCGGTAAAGTCACGTAGGTAAAAAATAAAAATAATAAAAGTAATAATAGAAAAAAAATATAAAAAATTGTGCTTTATTATTTTATTTATTTCTATTATTACTTTTATTAATTTTAAATTTTACCTACGTGACTTTACCGAAAAAACCCAAGAGTATGAATTATTGCAGTCACGAAAGCTTCAAATCTAGAATCAGTTGCATTAGCAGCAGCGGTGATAGCAACATCAGTAGCAGCAGTAGCAACATCAGTAGCATTAGCAGCAGCAATGATAGCAACATCAGTAGCAGCAGTAGCAACATCAGTTGCATTTGCAGCAGCAGTGATAGCAACATCAGTAGCAGCAGTAGCAACATCAGTAGCATTAGCAGTGGCAATGATAGCAACATCAGTAGCAGCAGTAGCAACATCAGTAGCATTAGCAGTGGCAATGATAGCAACATCAGTAGCAACAGTAGCAACATCAGTTGCTTGAGCAGCAGCAGTCACTGGAACATCACTAGCAGGAGCAGTAACAACATCGGTAGCATTAGCAGAAGCAGTGATAGCAACATCAGTAGCAGCAAGAGCAGTTGTAGCAGCAGGAGTAAGAGCAGCAGCAGCAGCACTAGTAGTAGTATTATCAGCAGCAGCAGCAGGAGCAGCAGGCAGCAATAGCTGCAGCATTATCAGCAGTTAGCAGCAGCGAAAATAAATATTTGCATCAGTAACAATCGCAGCAACAGCGGTCTGCATCGTGAACATCATCAGCAGCATCCATCATCATCATCAGCCACATCGTTGATAATTAGCGACATCAACAACGACAATTATCAGCAACAGCAGGCACCATCATCAGCAGGAACCATCAGCAGCAGCAGCATCAACCAGCATCATCAGCATTATCAACATCAACAGAATCATCATCAGCATTATCAACATCAGCAGAATCATCATCAGCATTATCAACATCAGCAGCAGCATCATCAGCATCAGCAGAATAAATCATCAGCAACATAAATTATACTAATCATCAGCAACAACAGACATTGTTATCAGCATCATCAATACCATCAACAGGAGGCATGTCAACCACGAGCATCATGATCATGAAAAGCGTCGATTATTACCAACAGCAGGATCAGCCGTCACGATCATCATCTTCATCATCAGCAGTAACATAAACCATCATCACATTTGTTTTTATCAACATCATCTCTATCATCAAGCATCATCACCATCATCTCCATAAGCAACAGCATCGATCATGAACAGCAGCAGCATCAATCATCACTAGCTTCACCAGCAGTAGCAGCATCATCATCATCAGCAGCACCGACATCAACCATCATCACGATTGTTGATAATTAACAGCATCTCCATCATCAACCATCATCAGCAGTAGCAGCATCATCATCAGCAGCACTGACATCAACCATCATCACGATTGTTGATAATTAACAGCATCTCCATCATCATCAACCATCATCATCAGTAGCAGCATCTTCATCATCAGCAGCACTGACATCAACCATCATCACAATTGTTTATAATTAACAGCATCTCCATCATCAACCATCATCATCAGTAGCAGCATCTTCATCATCAGCAGCACTGACATCAACCATCATCACAATTGTTTATAATTAACAGCATCTCCATCATCAACCATCATCATCAGTAGCAGCATCTTCATCATCAGCAGCACTGACATCAACCATCATCACAATTGTTTATAATTAACAGCATCTCCATCATCATCAACCATCATCATCAGTAGCATCATCATCATCATCAGCAGCACTGACATCAACCATCATCACGATTGTTGATAATTAACAGCATCTCCATCATCAACCATCATCATCAGTAGCAGCATCATCTTCATCATCAGCAGCACTGACATCAACCATCATCACGATTGTTGATAATTAACAGCATCTCCATCATCAACCATCATCAGCAGTAGCAGCATCTTCATCATCAGCAGCACTGACATCAACCATCATCACGATTGTTGATAATTAACAGCATCTCCATCATCAACCATCATCATCAGTAGCAGCATCATCTTCATCATCAGCAGCACTGACATCAACCATCATCACGATTGTTGATAATTAACAGCATCTCCATCATCAACCATCATCAGCAGTAGCAGCATCTTCATCATCAGCAGCACTGACATCAACCATCATCACGATTGTTGATAATTAACAGCATCTCCATCATCAACCATCATCATCAGTAGCAGCATCATCTTCATCATCAGCAGCACTGACATCAACCATCATCACGATTGTTGATAATTAACAGCATCTCCATCATCAACCATCATCAGCATCGAACATCATCATCATCATCAGCAGCAGCATCAGCCCCCCCCCCTTCCCCCCTCTCTCCCCCCACCCTCCCCCCCTTCCCCCGCCCCTCCCCCCGCCCGTCTCGGCAGAGGCGAGAGACACGCAGCGACTCCTGCACTCGCGAGCGATTCCCTCTCTCCCCTCTCTCTCTCTCTCCGGACCCCCGATACACAAGGACCCCCCTTCCACCCCCCCATCATTCCAACTCCATCAGCTCGGGGACCCCCTTCACCAGCCCCCTCTTCGACAAACCCAGGGGGGGGGACCGATATCCCCTTCGTTCATTCCTTCTCTGCAGCTCGTTTCAAATCCGTCTACCCACCACAACCAGCACCACCACCACGACCCCCTTTCTCTCCACGTAAACCTTTCTTGGATCGTCCGCGGACCCCCCCATTTCCTCGCTTTGTTCAAGGAAGCAGGGACCCCCCCCCCCACCACCACCACCGCTCTCCACCCCTTGCCACCCCCTTTGCTCTGCTCGGGATCTGTGTTGCACGCGCGCGGGCGCGTGCGCGCGCTGCGTCGGGGACCCCCCCTTTTGGAGGAGGTCGCCACGAACCGCGTGGACTGCGCGTCGCTCTGCGTCGACACCTCCGCTCGCCACAGACGCACTCGCGAGGTGAGCCGATCGTGGGGGGCCACAGCGTTGGCAGAGGGGGTCGGTGTCGAGGCAAGGGGGGGGGAGATCGAGAGGGGGCGCTTGGAAGGGGGGGGGGGGTAGAGCTGACACCGTGGGGGTTTGCTCACCTGAAGGGGATGCAGAGGGGGGGGTGGAGTTAAGGGGAACGGAGAGACGGGGGCGGGCGGGCTTGTGACTCGTCGTACACCTGTGTGAGTGAGTGGTGAGTGTGTCCCTGTCGTCTCCGTGGGTCTTCATATCCGTGTGTCTTCGTGTGTCTCCGTCTGTCTTCGTGGGTCTCCGTGTGTCTTTGTGTGTATCCGCGGGTGTCCATGGGTCTCCGTGTGTCTCCGTGGGTGTCTGTGTGTCTCTGTGGGTCTTCGTGTGTCTCCGTGTGTCTCCGTGTGTCTTTGTGTGTCTTTGTGTGTATCCGTGGGTGTCCGTGGGTCTCCGTGTGTCTTCGTGTGTCTTCGTGGGTCTCCGTGTGTCTTCGTGTGTCTCTGTGGGTCTTCGTGTGTCTCCGTGTGTCTTCGTGTGTCTCCGTGTGTCTCCGTGGGTCCGTGTGTCTTCGTGGGTCTCCGTGTGTCTCCGTGTGTCTTCGTGTGTCTCCGTGTGTCTCCGTGTGTCTTCGTGTGTCTCCGTGGATCTTCGTCTGTCTCCGTGTGTCTTCGTGTGTCTCCGTGGGTATCTGTGTGTCTCAGTGTGTATCCGTGTGTCTCCGTGGGTCTCCGTGTGTCTTCGTGTGTCTCCGTGGGTATCTGTGTGTCTCCGTGTGTCTCCGTGTGTCTCCGTGGGTCTCCGTGTGTCTTCGTGTGTCTTTGTGTGTCTTCGTGTGTCTCCGTGTGTCTTCGTGTGTCTCTGTGTGTCTCCGTGTGTCTTCGTGGGTCTCCGTGGGTCTCCGTCTGTCTCCGTGGGTCTCCGTGTGTCTCCGTGTCGTCTCCGTGTGTCTCCGTGGGTCTCCGTGTGTCTCCGTCTGTCTTCGTGGGTCTCCGTGTGTCTCCGTGTGTCTCCGTCTGTCTCCGTGTGATTCCGTGGGTCTCCGTGTGTCTTCGTGGGTCTCCGTGTGTCTCCGTGTGTCTTCGTGTGTCTTCGTGGGTCTCCGTGTGTCTCCGTGGGTCGCCGTGTGTCTTCGTGTGTCTGGGCATCTCCGCGCGTCTTTATATGTCTTTGGGTATCTTTATGTCTCCGTGTGTGTCTGTGTGTCTCCGTGTGTGTCTGTGTATCTCCGTGTGTGTCTGTGTGTCTCCGTGTATGGCTGTGTGTCTCCTTGTGTGTTTCCGTTTGTCTGTGTGTCTCCGTGTAGCAGTGGGTATCCGTGTGTCCGTCTATCATTGTGTCTCCGTGTGTCTGTGTATCTCCGTGTCTCTGTGTGTCCATATATTTGTGTGTCCGTGTGTCCTGTGTCTCTCTCTCTGTCTCCACGAGGCTCCGTATTCTACTCCATGTCTCCGTATTTGTCTTCATGAGTGCCTCGGTGTCTCCGTGCGTGTCTCTGTGTGTCTCCGTGTCTTCATGAGTGCCTCTGTGTCTCCGTGTCTTCGTGCGTGTCTCTGTGTGTCTCCGTGTCTTCACGTGTCTCCGTGTCTTCATGAGTGCCTCTGTGTCTCCGTGTCTTCGTGCGTGTCTCTGTGTGTCTCCGTGTCTTCACGTGTCTCCGTCTCTTCATGAGTGCCTCTGTGTCTCCGTGTCTTCGTGCGTGTCTCTGTGTGTCTCCGTGTCTTCACGTGTCTCCGTCTCTTCATGAGTGCCTCTGTGTCTCCGTGTCTTCGTGCGTGTCTCTGTGTGTCTCCGTGTCTTCACGTGTCTCCGTCTCTTCATGAGTGCCTCTGTGTCTCCGTGTCTTCGTGCGTGTCTCTGTGTGTCTCCGTGTCTTCACGTGTCTCCGTGTCTTCATGCGTGTCTCTGTGTGTCTCCGTGTCTTCGTGCGTGTCTCTGTGTGTCTCCGTGTTTTCACGTGTCTCCGTGTCTTCGTGCGTGTCTCTGTGTGTCTCCGTGTCTTCATGAGGCTCTCTCTGCGTTCGTGTGAACGTTTCCCTGTTGCTGTCTCCACACAAGTGTGCCTCTGTGCGTTTCGTCATGTCTTCGTGTGTGTGTGTCTCTCTCAGTTTCTCCCCCGCGTGTCTGTGTCTCTCCCTGTGTCTCTAAGCGTATCTCAGTGTCTCCGTGTCGCTCTGTGTCTTCGTGCGTGTCCTTCTGTGTCTCTAAGAGTCCCTCTCTGTCTCCGTGTGTCTCTGCCTGTGTATCCGTGTCTCTCTCTGTCTCTCTGTCTCCGTGTGTATCTCTGTGTCTCTCTCTGTGTCTCCGTGTTTCTCTCCCTGTCTCCCTGTGTCTCTGTGTCTCCGTGTGTCTCTCCCTGTTTCCCTGTGTGTTTCTGCCTCTGCCTGCGTCTCACTGTGTCTCCCTGTGTGTCTCTCAGTGTCTCCGTGTCTTTCTATGTGTCCCTGTGTGTATCTGTGTCTCCCTGTGTATCTCTCCGTGTATTCGTGAGCATCTCTGTGGGATCGTGAGTGTCTCCGCGTCTCCACGAGTCCGCGTACAATCTTGATGTCTCTTTCTCTGTGTCTCCGTGTTGTTATTCCATCCGTGTCACTGTCTCCGTGTGCCTGTTGGTCAGTGAGGAGCGGTGGCGCAGCGTCTCGCCTAGATCCGCTCTGTCTTAAATGAGTAACCCGGTGCGGTGTGTAAACATCGCCACTGGGGAGACAAAGGCGGTCGGGCGTGGTGCTGGCCACCCACCCCCTCGTGTGCCACAGTGCCGGTAGCCTTCACAGGTGCCGCTCGCTAACAGCACTTGCCCCGACAGCCTGTGAAGGCTACACGGGGGATCTTTGTTGATCAGTGTTGTCGCGTCTTCTTCTCTGGGGACCTCCTGGGTGTCTCTCGTTCATTCTCTTGCTGGGTTACGGCTCCGTGTCTCCGTGAGTGTCTCCGTGCGTGTCTCCGTGATTGTCTCGGTGTTTCCGTCTCTCTGTGAGTGTCTCCGTGAGTGTCTTACTCTGTGAGTGTCTCCGCGATTGTCTCAGTTACTCCTTGGATGTCTACGTGAGTGTATCCGTGTCTCTGTGAGTGTCTCCGTGTCTCCCCGAGTGTCTCTGTGTCTCCGCTGTCTCCTGTCTCTATGCGCGTTGCGTCTCCTTGTCTCTCCATTGCGTGTCTCTCTGGCAATGTGTGTGTGTCTGTCGATGTGTGTGTGTGTCTCTGTCTTTGTGTGTGTCTGTCGATGTGTGTGTGTCTGTCAATGTGTGTGTGTTTTCATGTGTGTGTCTCTGTCAATGTGTGTGTGTGTCTGTCAATGTGTGTGTGTCTTCATGTGTGTGTCTCTGTCAATGTGTGTGTGTCTGTCAATGTGTGTGTGTGTCTTCATGTGTGTGTCTCTGGCAATATGTGTGTGTCTGTCAATGTGTGTGTGTCTGTCAATGTGTGTGTGTCTGTCAATGTGTGTACGTGTGTGTGCCTCTTTTATGTGGAGCGGTGGTGGAGCGGCTGCGCTATTAATCCGGAGAACCGAGTTCGATTCACGGCCACCAACACCAATGACGATTATCTGATCCGGTCCTGGGCCTCCCCTAGGTCGACTCAGCCTCAAACGAGTAGACGATGCGGTGTGTAAACGACGCCACTGGGGAGACAAAGGCGGCCGGGCGTGGTGCCGCCTCGCGTGCCGTGCCGGCCTTCGTAGGTGCTCGCTATAAGCACTTGTTGAGACTATACGGGGGATCTTTGTGTGTGTGTAGTTTTATGCGTGCGCGTATCTGTTTGTGTGTACACGTGGGGTGTGTACGCGTGTACGTGTTAGTGTGTGTGTGTTCATGTGTATGCGTGAGTGTGTGTACGTGTGTATATGCTAGTGTGTGTGAATGTGTGTACATGTTAGTGTGTGTGTTCATGTGTATGTGTCAGTGTGTGTACATGTTAGTGTGTGTGTTTATGTGTGTAAGTGTGTACGTGTTAGTGTGTGTGAAGGTGTGAGTGTGTGTACATGTCAGTGTGTGTGTATATGCCAGTCTGTGTGTGTGAGTGTGTGTATATGTCAGTGTGTGTGTATATGTCAGTGTGTATGTGAGTGTGTGTACATGTTAGTGCGTGTGTACGTGTGTTTAGGTGTATTTGTGAGTGTGTACATGTCAGTGTGTGTGTACACGTGTGTATGTGTGAGTGTGTGTACATGTTAGTGTGTATGTACACGTGTGTGTACGTGTGTGTTTATGTGTATGTGTGAGTGTGTGTACATGTTAGTGTGTGTGTGTACACGTGTGTGTACGTGTGAGTGTGTGTACATGTTAGTGTGTGTGTACGTGTGTTTAGGTGTATTTGTGAGTGTGTGTACATGTCAGTGTGTGTGTACACGTGTGTATGTGTGAGTGTGTGTACATGTTAGTGTGTATGTACACGTGTGTGTACGTGTGTGTTTATGTGTATGTGTGAGTGTGTGTACATGTTAGTGTGTGTGTACACGTGTGTGTACGTGTGAGTGTGTGTATATGTCAGTGTGTGTGTGCGTGCGTGTCCGTGTGTAACAACGAGCGGATCGCCGGGAGAGACGGCACAGGTAGTGCCTCTGTCGGTCACAGCAGTCAACGCGTACCATCTGGGTCTATCCCGTGACTTTGTATACCTAGCCTGGCACAGCAGTCAACCCGTACCACCTGGGTCTCTCCCGTGACTTTGTGCACTTAGCCTGGCACAGCAGTCAACCCGTACCACCTGGGTCTCTCCCGTGACCTCCTGCACCTAGCCTGGCACAGCAGTCAACTCGTACCACCTGGGTCTCTCCCGTGACCTCCTGCACCTAGCCTGGCACAGCAGTCAACCCGTACTACCTGGGTCTCTCTCGTGACCTCCTGCACCTAGCCTGGCACAGCAGTCAACCAGTACCACCTGGGTCTCCCGTGACCTCCTGCACCTAGCCTGGCACAGCAGTCAACCCGTACCACCTGGGTCTCTCCCGGGACTTTGTGCACCTAGCCTGGCACAGCAGTCAACCCGTACCACCTGGGTCT